TTTTCAGGAATCCTTTGGAGGTTTGGAGTGCATCCTCTGTGGATCTAGGGGAACTACTCTACCATGTTGCCATCAATATTATTGAGTACTTAAGTAGTTTGCAAAGCATTTTCATTTTATTTCCTTGTATAACTATTTGAAGTAGGGCTTATATACATCCTTGTCAGATGAGAAAAATGAAACTCAAGAGAAGTTAGTTAACTTCTTGCCCTCAGTCACAAAGGCTGTTCAGTGAAGAAGTTAGTATTAGAAATTGGCTGCTGGCTCCCGGAACCCATACTTAATAGCCCTACTATATCACCCTAGAATTTGCTGTTGGTTTCTGATATACAGTTACACTTCATGTAACTTGATTTTGATTTAGTTTGTGCCTACCAATGTGATTCAACTTGGTCAAATTATTTAATCTTTCAGAACTTCAATTTCCTATTTGTGAAGTGGAATATTTACTGTAGAGTTTACAGATAGACCCAAATGACTTAGTACAATGACTGAGACTTGCTAAGATCTTAGTTATTAAGATGTGTTGAGTTAACTATTGTTGGTATTAGCCAGACTTCTTATTCTCCATTTTCTGAAGCTCTTTCTTACAAAATAATTATTAGCTTTGACTCCTCATTGTTGTATGTTCTACTTTTAAGCATTCTATATTTGTTTTTCATCTCTGCTTTAGCTATTTCTTCTGTTTGAGTTATTCTTTTTCTCTGCTGTCCAAATCTGTTTTCTTAAAGCTTCCACATTCTCTGAAAGAGCGTTCACCAAAAAAATATATACACACTTCAGGAAAAAAACTTTTATTAATATTTTAATACTACATTTATTGAGATGAGATTAATACAAGTTACCTTTGGCTTCTAGAATTGGAAGAGGTGGTCACAGAGGTGGTCTCAGCTTCCAGACATTTATTAGTATGCTTTGTGGACCTTGGCCAAAGTAGCCATTGACATTGCTGCACATGCATTTTCAATTTCTTCTCTAAAGGCCAGCAAGATGGTGGGTTTTCTGTGATATTCAACATCCTTTAGGGTTCCCCATAGATGAAAGTATTAAAATTATACAAGCTTTTTTGCTGAAGTGTATACTTTTTTTTTGGTGACTGTATTTCTAGTCTATGCTGTTCTTTTCCTTTCTGAACTGTTGTAAAATTTATCTTCTGTAATTATACTTTAATTAGTCATTTCTACATCTTATAGTTTTTCAGTTTTTATGATGCTGAACATTTGTTCTATAAGTGTTTACAATTACTTGCATATAATTTATTTTTCATCTATTGTAGAAGAATTCTAGTTTCAATCACTTTTCCATACTTAGGGAATAAATGTGGATAAGACCTAGTCCCTGTCCTCAAGTAGTTTATAATACAATGGGTAAGTTATAGCTTATATTTCTTGAGCACAAGAATTCTTAACCTCTCTTCCACTTTCACATCGTTGATATATGCAACTCACTTTCATCATTGACATCTCATTTTGTACATTCATTGGGGAAGCATTTCTTTCCAGCATTGAGGAACTCTATCTGTGTGTGTGTGTGTGTGTGTGTGTGTGTGTGTGTGTGTGTGTGTGTGTGTATCTGTGTCTGTGTGTGTCTGTGTGTCTGTGAGACAGTGTCAAACTCCTAGGCTCAAGCCATCTTCTTCCTTCAGACTCTCAAGTAGCTGGGACTATAGGCACATGCCATGGTGCCCTGACAATTGTTATGGATTAAAAACTGGTAATCAGCTTAACACCAACTGAATTAAATCAGCATGGTGCTGAGCATAGATGTTCTACCTGAGGAAAGTTGCCGGGATACATAGAGGTGTGAAGAAGAACCAGGCGCTGTGGGTTTCTCTAAAGTGTTGCTGTTTTAAATGCTGTTGGTTCTCCTGGAAGAGCTCGTCTGACTAGCTTCCCTAGTATAAGTTTGGCCATCATCAGAGGAGCTCAGGACCTTATTGGTGAGAGTGGTTGTGGTTTATTTTTGGGGAACTCTGATCCCTACACTGAGCATCACTTCCTGGCTTCAGGGTGTGGGTAGGGGAAGATGGGTGCTGTTTAATTTCCAGAAGAAGCTTGTCATGTTGGTTTTCTGACATGTACTTGACTGTTCTCATCCTTGGAGGATATTGGAACTTCCTTGTCACTGAGGATAGCTGTGGTGCTTTTCAGGACAGCCCTGGTCCTTATTTTGAGTGTGACTTCTCAGTTCCAGTGCAGATCCCTCCACCTACCAGCACAGCTCCTTCACCCTGCTGGCATAGACTTTCTAGCTTCCACTGCTGACCTTTGGGCCTTCTCAGCACAGATCCATAAAAGAGGCTGGCGTGAGTCCTTCTCGTGAGCTCCAGACTTCCATTGGATTCATGCGAGGCACTGCCATAGGCTCTACCTTTTCATCTGGACTTATGCAGAACATTGCTGTGGGGTCCAGTCCCTGGCTGAATATTCTGTGTCTTTAGTGTTGTGGATAGATTTCCCGCACTTTCTTGTGTTTAACTCTGGCTAACCATCATAAAATAATATTATAAATTCTGTGTCCTGATTGTAATTGTTCTCCTCACAATCCCTGACCACAACTATAATTCTGAAAACTCTCTTGTCTTCTTTTATGTAAGTATAATAGAAAATGGGGTGAAAATTCGTGTAGCCATTAACAGAAATGAAATTATGACCCAGAGTGAAGGTGCTACCTTCCATCTCAGTGAAGAAACTGAGTTGCAAAGCTTTTGTAGATTCAAATAGAAAGTTAGCAGTGAAGTTAGAATTTAAATTCAGCCTCAGTGGATGAAAATTCAGCTGTAGTATATGGTATTAACCTTTATTTTTAAAACTTTTTATTACAGAAATCTTAAATGCAAAAAACAGTTTCTAACATTTTGCCGCTATGTTTCTTCACTTCCACCAGTATTTTTCATACTATGTGATACCTCTATTTACGAACTTGATTTATGATTTTGGAGACAGTGACCACCCTTGTGTTTGTGTGGGGACATTGGCTGTGGTTGTGTTTGTCATGTATTGCAGTTTGTGAACAGAAGCAAAATTTTGCTGAACACATTTTTGTTGCAAACCAAATTGTTTGCAAACAGAAGTGTTTGTGAGCCAAGGTGTTACTATATGTTAAAGCAAATCCTAGAGATGGTATAATTTTACGAATGTATATTTCAGGATGAGCATTGACTTGAAATTTAGCTGAATATAACTTTGTAGACTATGTAATATGAAATAGCCTAACTGTATTTTAAGGACAGTACAATTTTTCTTGTTTTGTTTTGTTTGATTTGAGACAGGAGGTTGCTAAGCAGTTCATGCTGGGCTTGAGCTCACTTTGTAGCCCAGGCTGGTAATGAACTCACAAAGATCTTCCTGCTTCAGCTGCCTGAATGCCAAGATTATAGGCATGCACCACCATGCCCAGCTAGTATTTTTTAATATACATGACATTCCACAGATTTTGGGGACCGGGGAGAGAGCTCAGTGACATAGTACCTGCCTGGCAAGTGCGAGGTCATGAATTTGATCCCTGGTACCCCCAACCCCCCCCAAAAAACAAAAACAAAACACAGTTTATCACATTTATCTAGTGTAAAAATATAAGCTTTCAGGGGACTATTTGTTATACTATGGAAATATTTCCTCTCTGGAATATATTTTCTTGAATGATACTAATGTGACTTGGAGAAATTTAGCCAAAGGAAACAATTAGCTAATTATGTGCTTTCAGTAGATACTGTTTTTGGAAAATAGGTGCTTTTCTGAGTGTCTACTTCAAACACACTTTAGAAAATTGCAATAAAACACATATTTTCTAGTATGTCCCATTTTTCTTCTGTTTTATTTTTAGTTTTTTGCAGTTCTAGGGCTGGAACCCAGGGCCTTGGCACTGAGCTACATCCCAAGCACCTCCGTGCTCCTGTTTTGACAGCCCATCATTTTTGCAAGTTAGAGATATAAACACACATACTTCATTTGCTCAGGTTGGATGTGTGCACATATGAGTGCACTAGAGTGTTGTCCCTGAAACCCATTTTTCTTCTCTCTCTTTTTTTGTACCAGGGATCAAACTTACGACCTTGTGCTTTGCCAGGCAAGCGCTTATGCTGCTGAGCCAAACCCCTGACCTGAAACCCATTTTAATTTAGTCTAATTTTTATAGTGAGATGGGATCTCACTAAGTTGCTAGGTTTCCTGAGATGGTTTAAACTTGTGTTCTTCTTGCAAATAGCCTCTGAGAGTACTGGAATTGCAGGTGTGCCCCTCCAGGCCCAGCTGCTTCTGTTTTAGAGGGAAAGATTATTCTTTCTCTTCTCAAGCTGACCTTCCCAGATAGTTACTGGACATTATTCACTTTCCTGTCCTGTCCTGTCCTGTCCTGTCCTGTCCTGTCCTGTCCGCCATCAGCTCTTCAGGTCTGCCTTATGCAAAACAACAAAAGCAAAACACTTTTCCTTGGTTTTACATTCCAACTGCCTATCCAAATACCTCCACTGAATACCTCTGTTTTGTTGGCCTTAGGGAAAAGCACAAATGCTTTTTTTTAAAAAGAAGACTCCTTCACTTTTCTCTCTCTGTTACGTTTCCACTCTCATTAACTATTTATCCCACATACCCTTGATGTTGATTTATAATAGTAATTATAACAAGCTGAATACTCAAAGTTGTTACATTAGGATGTAATTTATACATTAGTATATACTAATTACATCAACGTTTACAACTACAACTTCTCACTCATCCCTACTTAATTCACTTCAACAAAATACACCAAATTTTCACTATATGACAGCTGCTTTTCTAGGCTTATTTGCCAAACCCTTGTATATTTTGGACTATAAATCCATTTGCAGTTGAATAATATCAGGAGAATGATGTTGTGTACTTATGTGCACAATCCATAAAGATTTGTTCGTGGGAGATGTGCTTTTGTTATATGACAGTGTTAAAATTATTTGTCATTTTCTGTGCTATATTAATTTCGCTCAGACTATCACCTAATTATTTTTTATATTTTTCTTTTAGGGACAGTATGGAAATTACCAACAGTGAAAGAGTCCTCACATTCCAACAGCCAGTACTTACTAGCAGCCATATTGTCACCTCAGCACTGTGGCCGCCTCCCTGTGAAGAGATCCTTCCATTCCATCTAGTTTTTTGGAAAAATCATGTGGATAAGTGGCTCTTTCATCTTCAAGCAGCCTTTGTGGTTTAGTTGTAAAAGGCTTTAGTAGCTCAAAAATACTCTTGATTTCACATTTCTACTCTAGATGGCAACATTGGACAGAAAATGCAATGACATAACCAATTTGCAGTGATTTTGGAACTGTGTTTCAGATGGACTGTTACCTACCGACTGAAAGGTGTGAACAGCTTTGTATGTTTATGAAGGTTAAGGGAATTTAATACTTTTCCACAGATTCTTTTGTAAGGGGGAGAGGGGAATGTACACTTTTTACAGCAGCAATATTTTGTATATTATGTTTATTTCATGTGAATATGCAAGGCGGTACACTACGCACTGGACAGAATCGGAAACCCTCTTACTAATGTGGACTGACATGTGGTAGATGTCTGATTGTTTTGGTCTCAAGGTGGTGTACTATGAAGGTAAAGGTGAGGGAGAAGACAACAGCACACCATATGTCCACTGTCATGGTCTTAGAGAGGAAACGTAAATCCCTTTTATCTGTCAGATAACGAAGGGCACTGTGATAACTGTTTTGAGTAAAAAGACTTTTTTTTTAAAAGCCTTCCAGTTTTGTGGATTAAAACTTTTTTATAAAGATCATTTATAATACTGTTTTAAAATGTAAGGCAATAAGAATTACTTTTTGTTGGATTTGAAGAATCTTTAGTAACAGTTTCATGTAAACCGAGTGGTAATCCTTTCCTAAAATAGCAATAACTGAAAACGAAGTGTTCATTTTATCTAGTTTGAGTAATCAGAAGACTTAGTAAATAATACCAAAAAACATTTTGTAAATAATATTAAAGAAGAGTCAACATGGATCCAGTAATTTTATTTTTTAACATCAGAAGGATAATTGGTTTATATAATAAGATAGTAATTCAGGAGACTTTACAAACCTTTATTTCAGCTTTCTTAACTGGAAATAATGCCGTTACAAAGGGACACTCATATTTTTTTCCTTTTTTTATGTTGGTTAATATAACCCAAAGAAATGGTTAGTATAATGCTTATTGATGAGGATTATTCTGATCTATATTAAAAGCGTAGAAGCTGCGTTTTAGATTTGTTTATAAGCATGATATATTTAATCATTATTTGAGACTGTCCTGTGCCTGATTATTTAGTTAAATTCAGGGATAATGCATTGGGCAGGAAAGCATGCATTCAGAAATTTCTTACCATAGTTATTTAAGCATAATCTGAAAACATCTAGCCCAAAGGTAAGTTACTATTTCCATCACAGTTGCCTGTGCCCAGGGAATAAGATGTATTCTTTGTAATTGAATTGGTTTTTCCCACTTCTAACTGGAAACAAAACAGAAGGGATGCCATAAATTTGAACAAGCGGAACATTGTGTTCTCTTCATACTGTAATCAAAAGTGGGAATTTCAGTTGTCTTTGTGTGTGTATGAGAGAGAGAATGTGTGTGTCCTAAGGTCAAAATAGGGTCTTTTTCAACTTGTCCAGTAGAAAATGGACATCAAGTTTGAACAGATAAAGCAAGGACAGCCTTATTGTGATTGAAATGCTGAGAGATTCTGTGCCAATTTTCCACCACTGTGTACTTTGTTGCTATTTAAAACTGTATCAACTCTAACGAAGAATAAATTATTTGTGATTTTAATTTTCTCATTTGTTTCTTTAAATTAGATCTCTCTGACTCTCTTGTTTTGTCTGGAGACTGTGCTGTGGGTTTTTATATAAGTTAGTCCAGTATAAGCAGACTATATTTGTATTCTAGGACTTTATCAAAATTCTCTTGCCATGCCCAAGTTAATTAGAATTAACTGTTCAGTAATCAGCATGTTGTGTAGGCTGTTTGTTACAGAATTCTTTCTCTGAAAATGAAGTCCATGAGGCTATAATCAAGATGACTGAATTAGATAAATGAGTTGAAGAGACAAAATTGTACTGAACCCAACCTGGTGTAGATACGTTATCTCATTTGAAATAAGCTCAACTGACATTAAGAAATAATTTGTCTTGCCATCTCATCTTCTGTTGTCTTATTCTCCTTTTAATGGAAACTAAAATTGCAATTTTAATAAGCAGAATTTCCTCCAGGACTTTCTTCCTGGAGACTAGTGCATTTGCAAGGTTTAATTGTTTTATAACAGTCTTATTTCGTAAAAGTTTTTAATTGGTGGTGACAAAAATTACCTTACTCCTTTGATACCTGCAAGAGGAATAACTTTACCAATAGCTTTCGCCCAAATTTGGCATTTCCATATAAACTGTCTATACTGTGAAACTAAAATTTTCCTTTTGTCAAAGTGTATTGTAATGAATAAATATCACTCAATTTCATGAAATTCCAGGAGCAAACATTATTAAAAAATTAATCAGGACAATTGATATGACATTTCAGAATGCTTAAGTGTGCTTAGTTAGGTGGGTTGTTTGAAATCATGTTAGTATTGTTTTGTGGCTTTATTTACATGGCATGTTGTTTTGGTTTTAAAATTTTTAGTGAAATTTTTAAACATGTACCAAAATGAAGAGAAGGTACCACAGGCTCCCATATTCTAGTAACTCAGTTTATTTACTTAGCAAGTGAGAGCTAGTTTTCTGTTCTCTATGTGCCATCTCCCACATTGAGGAAAACTCTTTTATTTAATCCCTATATATTTCAGTAAGGACTTCTGAAAGATAACTACTTTAAAAAAATTTTAAAGAGAAAAAAAAAAAAAAGTCCCTGAACCTGAAGGACTTTTCCTGCTCTTGAAATTCTGTCTTTTCAGAGTTAACATTTTTTTCCAATATTAACAGTGAGATAGAAATCTTCTCAGAATCTTTATGTATAATCCTATTGCACATTTTCTTTTTAAAAAAGTCGTATTAAACAGAAGATTAACAGAAATACATTACAAAAAGATGAACATTCTCCATAATTTCATACTTTAAAGGAAACAGTTATTAAAGATTTGGTACATTTCTCCCAAATTGATTTTATGCATATAAGCCAACATAAATTGTTTAGTTTTTTTTTTAACAAAAATTATGTTGTAATCTGTTTTGTAACTTTCTTCCTTTTTTACTTTAAAGAGAATAAAACCTAACAAAGCAGAATGAAGCCAATCAAAACAAAACAGTGAAAGTGGTACAGGACTTCAAAACAGGATAATAGGAAATTAATAGTGGCTGCCATAATATATCTTATCTTCACAATAATTGCCCATGCTATCAGACATAGTAAAATCAAACAAAACAATATAACCAATCAAGACATTAAATAAAACAAAACAATAAATCTGACAAACAGGACAATAATAGATTTTAGAAACAAGACAAGGAAATTCCCCATAGTTGCTATATTGCATACTGTTATGCTCCCAATGGATGCTCACACTACCGGCCTTTAGGCCTGCAAAATCAGTGGAACAATACAAGCATCTAGTTGTTTTTGTACCTCAGTTGCTATCAGCTCAGCCTGTCCTCCAAACCAGTTGCTTATGGGGCTGGAATGGGTGCGGTGTCTTGATTCTCAGCCCGCTTGCTGGTCTGTTCTTGGGAGGGGTGAACTGACTTCTCCCTGGACCCCACATAGTTTGCACAGCTTACTGGAAGGGCAAATTGGCTTCTTGTACTCCTCCCAAACCCAGCATGGCTTCTGTATTTTGGAGTCTTGATTTTAAGGTCATAACTTCCTTTTTTAAAAACTAGAAAAATCTTGAAAGCTTCCTGTTCCTCTGTTACCTCTGAAGTTTTCATAAACTATTGGCAGAAAAGAGTGTGTGTGTGTGCTCTGAATCTATGTAGTACATTTTTAACATGCTCAGTGTAACACTATGGACATTTAAAAAGTAAATCACATTTAAAAAGTAGGGTGACTTTTTAAGTCACCCTAAAGTATTCCTTTATCAGCACTAATTAATTATATTTATTAGTATTTAAAATTCTAGATTTTAAAAAATGTTATTTGTAAGTTGAACATCTTTTCAAATGCTTAATGGCATTTTTTATTTTTTGTTCTGAAATGTCTCTTATGTTCTTTGTTTCTTGTTGTGATGATGGTAGTGAGAGAGAAGACATACACGCATATACATACAGAAATACAGGATGCTCTGTGTGCATTGGTCCTCTGTTTCTGTCTTGTCTTCAGTGTCTTGTCTTTAACTGTATTAAAATTCTTAGGTTTTTATGCAATAAAAACTTGTGACTTGTTTCCTGACTTGCAAATTTATAAAAATATTCCTCATATTTGCTTGCATTTTTCTGAAATTTACTGTACATAGTTTGGGGCCATTAATTTTCTTCCTGTATGCATAACCAGTTTGTTTGAACATCAGTTAATAAATAAACCATTTTTCTTCCAGTGATTTGAGATGACATTTTACTCCTCTTATTTAAAAAAAAATATAGTTGAGGCATGTTTTATTAGTTCCATTTTAAAGAAAAATTTTAAACTCATTTAAGTATTATCTGATGTAATTGCCATAAAATTCTGAGTTATGTGACTCCCAGCAAGGTGTTTTAAAAACTGAAAGTTATCTGCAAAGTGCAAACAATGACTAGCTTCTTAGTAGTAAAGAGAATTATTAAAATGTGTTTTTATATAGAATGATGAAAACATCTTAGCCATTTTTGCATGAAATTTAGAAGCTCTTCAATTTTTGTGCTCTGCTAATTAGTTTTACAGCTGCCTAAAACTATTACACTGAGTTACTAAAGAAAAATTTAAGAGGGGCTGGGGATTTAGCTCAGCGGCATAAGCGCCTGCCTTGCAAGCAGGCAGTCGTGAGTTCAATCCCTGGTACCGATGAAAAGGAAAAAGACAAAAAAAAAAAAAAAAAAAAAAAAAAGAAAAATTTAAGAAATCAATCGAAAATGTTGTTTTACTGCTTATGAATCTAAGTTTCATAAATAAAGCAATGTAATTTTCATTGGTTTAATAATGACCTGTCAGAAGACTGATCATGTAATTTATTGTTCAGTCTGGGGAACTTTTGAGAATAAAGGGGGAAGTGTTCTTACACATACACATGCCTAAATAGAATCGTGCATATGTGTATTACAAGTACATGTTTATATAGATTAAATGTATATATATATATACTTATATATATATATTTAAATTTTATGTTTCTGGTAGAGTCATAGTTTAAGAACTTTGTGTATGAGTCCTATTTATGATTAGGTTGTAATTGTAATATCCCCAGAGGTTTTATAATAATTACATTTAAAAAGTAATGTTAAAATAGATAAGAAATGCTGAATATTCTGAGATTTTCATTATTTCTCATCTCTGTTAGACAATACTAATTTTCTTTTCCTTTAGTTTAAAAATAACCCCATGTTTTAGGTGGCTGCCTTTTTAGAGACACTTAAAATCCTTTTTGCAGCCTGATGTAGCCATATGACTTATAAGTTCAGGCCAATATGATGTAAGCTGAAATGATGTGTTCAACCTCTAGGTCCCATTCTTATTTTGCTGGGGATCGAACTCTTGACCTCACGCTTGTCAGGCATGTTGTTGTGCCGCTGAATTAAATTCTCAGCCAGTTAGGACCCATTCTTAAAACGCTTCTGTTTTCTATTTCCCAAGGTGGGACATGGTGTGTTGAGGAGCTTTGGTCTTACAGATTTTCTAAAGAATGGCAGTACAAATAGAATAAAAAATCCCCCGAAGCCACTCTTCTTCACATCACCTTGGATTCTGACATAAGAGAAATGACACTTCTACCTCACCAAGCAGTTTTGGTGTAGCAGCAAAGCCTATATACCTCTAGTTTAGGGTCATTGTAGTAGATGGCTAGTTCATACTACTCTATAATATACTCTGTAGCAGTCATATATTTTAGCATACTATGTGTATAGTTTACAGTCACTCAAAAAGGAGTCATTGTCATGGTTTATGCCACTGGCCCCCAAGTCTCATGAATTATGGACTCTACCAAATCTAGCATTTGTGATTGGTTCGTTGCCTAGTGTTCACATTGGTGGTGTGAGTGCTACACCCGCCTAGGGGTGGAGCTAGCGTATGGTGTAATGGCGGGAAGAAGGTGTGTCTGGCTCTCTCCTGCTTGTGCCTTGCAGTTTGCCAGCCAAGAATGGTACCGCCATGCCGACCTGCCTTGGAGCCATCTAAGTATGGACTGAAACTTCCAAAATTGTAATAAATAAACCTTCCCTTCTTTCCTATTGGGCGTCAGGTATTTTGTCTCAGCAATAAGGATTAAAGAGTAACTAAGACAATCATTCATCCTCCATACTCCCAAAAAGTGTTTTGAGTTCTAGTAAGTTATAACTGGATTTTCAAAAAGAGCAATTGAATTCCAAGCTATAAATCAGGGGCACGCTTTTTGATTTAGTGAAATAAACTCTTAAGTGTTCCAGTGATTAAATGACCTTGAACTATTTGCAATAGTCTATTAAAAGTAAGTTTGTTATATTTTTGACTGATGAAGTAAAAAAAATTCAATAACTTCTTTCATAATAATTCTAAACTTTCCATCATTTGCATTGGAATGTCATTTAATGACGATAGATTTTACTAATTTAAGAATACTGATAAAATTTACTTAATTATAACTTTTTGGCATCTATCAAGTTACAGTTTTTTAAGTAGCCTGTTCTAAAAACATCAATTTTCACCTGTAGTGGTGCTAATTATTCAATTTGGGT